TTCTGTTATTCTAAATAAATATTCACATATGTAAAATATACTAGGTGTACCAGTTAATAATGCGGATTTTTTTCAATAGATGGAGTTACACATATGTTGATATAAATGTGATTTGATATGTATGCTATTTTGTTGTATTGACAGCAAGCTTCAAAACTTCATATGTCAAATTTGCTGAAGGTGTTAATATCATAGATATTTTTACACTTAAAAATGTCCAATTTCATGCCAAAAAAAGGAGCATTTGTGAGAAGTTTTAATTCATTACTTTATTTTGAAGAAAAAGTCATCGTATATTTCAGAAGCTTATGGTAAACATGCTCCATCTCAAGATACTTGTGAATGCTGGTTTAAACGCTTTAAAAGTGATAATTTCAATGTGAAAGGCAAAGAACGTCCAGGTCTACCGAAAAAGATTGAAAACCAACAATTACAAGCATTATTGGAGGAAGATGTGTGTCAAACTCAAAAATAACTTGCAGAAAGATTAAACGTTGCTCAGCAAACAATTTCTGATCATTTACAAGCAATGGGAAAGATTTTAAAGGAAGGAAAAATGGGTGCCACATCAACTGAACAAAAGACAAATGGAAAACCTAAAAGTCATCAGTAAAATGTTGCGTCAAAGTCCCGAAAGAAAGTCTTTTTGCATAATATTATGACTGGCGACGAAAAGTGGATTTGTTTTAAGAATCTCAAATGTACAAAATCATGGGTTGATCCAGGTCAACCATCAACATCAACTGCAAGGCCAAATCGCTTCAGAAAGAAGAGAATGCTCTGCATTTGGTGGGATCTGGAAGGTGTGTGGTGTATTATGAGCTTCTAAAAGCAAGTGAAACCCTTAATACTGATGGCTACCGACAAGAAATAATCAATTTGAACCATGCTTTGATCGTGAAATGACCAGAATGTTCCAGAAGACACGGTAAAGTAATTTTGCTTCTTATAACGCACCATCACACCCTTCAAAACCCGTCAAAGACACGTTAAAAGATCTTGCCTGGGAAGTATTAACCCACCTGCCCTATTCACCAGACCTTGCTCCTTCAGATTACCACTTGTTTCAATCAATGGCACACTCACTTTCTGAGCAGTACTTCAAAATGTACAAAGAAGTGGAAAATTGGGTCTCCGAATGGTTTACCTCAAAACAAGAAAAGTTCTATTGGGACAGTATTCACAAATTATCTGAAAGATGGGAGAAATGTGTAGCTAGTGATGGACATTACTTTGAATAAAGCAGTTTTGATGTTTCTCTTGAAATTAT